CAAAGGCACATTACTTATCAGCATCTTGCAAGAAGCTTAATTAATATGCAGGGCACTTACTCGTGATAGAAGAGATCAAATTTCTAGCAGATAGGCTTGAAATTGGCGCACATGATCGTCACTTCGAAACATCCAACTGTCAGGATTATACACGTTGAGTCACAGCACAGGAACAATTTTTACCTCGCAGCCTAATCAGTAAAGTTTACCTGATTTCTTATATTCTTCGTACAAGAACATATTTTCTCCTCCATCCTTGAAAATGGACTTTAGATCGAGTACCGTGGATGATGGCGAGAGCTGTATGTGTGTGTGTGTGAGTGGCCCGAAGGTCCACACACTCGTTAACACGACGACAGGCAGAAAAAAGGAAGACAAAACCAGTCCTTCCAGTTTTTATCCACTGCGATGCACGTGGCAGGGCGCGATAACAATTTAAGAATCGTTACAGCCACCGTGTTCACTGTGAGAATTCTGTGTTCTCACACCATTGCCACTAAGATTTGGCAATTGGTTTTCCTCTCCCCAATCGCTTTTTAAGTGGGTGAAAATGTAAGGTTTTTATTTCTCCTTACCTATACCTTATTTGTGTAATTGGTAAGTACATCCGACTAGCAATTGGAAGGTCCAGAGTTCGAGTCCCTGCCAGGTACGCACACTTTTAACCTATCTTTCTTCGAAATACCTAACAGCTCTACAAGCTTTCAGAAAATGATAGTTTAACTAAATAACGTTCAGAAAATGATAGTTTTTTTTAAACTAACATTGAAGTTTAGGTTAAAAATAACACGCCGAGTAATGATTATTGGAGAAATTAAACAACAAGAATCAGTATAATGTTTGTAAATTTTGCAGCGATAGTTTCGATGGTTTAAGCACAGAACCAACTTCTTCAGCTGCCTAAATGCAGATGAACGAAATAGAATATGAATGCAAGATAAGAATGACTGGAAAGAAGTCAAGCCATTCGCACCATCTATTGATGAAACAAGAAAACTAAACAATAGTTTCCTTAAAAGCTGGGGGTAAAGATGGATTGGAATTAGAGTCGTTAACTAGAAAAGGAAGATTTTAAGGTTATTTGAAGGCTTCTTGAAAATCTAATTCACCAATGGAAGGTACTTTTTGAATAATTTGGGCTACAGAAAAATGGAAAGCATGATTTCCTGACCAACAATGCTGGACAATAGGGGATTTCTGTGTTTCCTTTTTCCTAACATATCGAACAAAGCGAAATTTTAAGGCTGTCTGAGTTTGACTAATTTAAATTGAATCACATTGGCAAGGAATCTTGTAACCCAGGAAGAATAATATAATAATATCCAGAATGTGATCCTTAAGTAATGAAATTGGGAAAACGACCTAAAAGGTAACTTTCAATAAAATACGTGCAATTTTATAGCTTAACCGATAGAAAGAAAGGAATGACAACAGAATTCCTATAATCTCCTAAAACGAGAGCGTGGCATTTAATGTGCTGAGATGAGAATTTTTTAACCGCTTGATTAATAATGTTGTGTAATAAAGCCAAAATTATTCAAAAAACATCTGCCATTCGTAAATTAGATTTTCTAGGCGCGTTTCACATTCAAAAAAATGTTTTTGTTTCAGTTAACGATCCTAATTCTAGTTCATCTTTACCTTCAGCATTTAAGGAAATTATGCTTTAGTTTTCTTGTTTCATCACTAGATGGCGCCATTGGCTTGACCTCTTTCCAGTCATTCTTATCTTATCACCATATTCTAACTTGTTCATTTGCACTTAGGCAGCTGAAGTAGTTGGTTCTGTATTTAAACCATCCATTGAAATTTGTCCTGCAAAAATTTACAAACGTTAAGCTGATTCTTGTTGTTTAACTTCTCCAATAACACTGAAACGATTACCAAATGTATTTCACGTTTTCCTGATGGAAGAAAATAAAGAAAAACGTTGAATTTAGGGACGGCATAAATGTTGAATAATACCAGATAAAAACTTCCGTATTTTAGTATTTATGTTGTATTTTAGTATAAATGTTGAATAATACCAGATAAAAACTTCCGTATTTTAGTATTTATGGCATTGGTATTTATAAACACTATACTCACATTTCGGTGACGTAAAAGGAATTATTATGAAATTTGCATTTTAAAACTTACTTGCTTAGCCATCAAAATTCGTACCCAAGAAAGTTTAATTATTAATACCTCAAGTAGCTCGTACGGGAATTAAATTTTGTTTGTTTGACTAACCTAGCTATGAAAAGCATTTTTATCACACATTTTTTACATGGGCAGAATAAAAATTTTATTTCGATTAACTTCGCAAAATGACTCAAAACGTTTGTTCTTATAATGTGCGTCTCGTTTAATCCATTTATAAAACTTCAACCAAGGGTCTACACCTAACTCTTTAAGAGATAATTAGTTGTGCGATGAACTTAGAAACAATATGCATGTAACCTTATCACGTATTTGATATTGCATATATTTGATACCTAAATGGTTATCAAAATTATGTTTCTCGATGCGAATCAACTTTTTTAATGTCTCTGATTCTACATTTTATCAAACATAACTTAAAAAACTCTTGACAACAGTAACGGAAAGAGAAAACACATAAGGTTAATAAACTTTGGAGCTAGTTTACTAGAACACATAAAAAGACTGTTTGTAGACAACACATAATACACACTACAGCCAACTATCGAAGACCATGAAAAATTCAAAAGCATAAAATAAGCTGTTTTTAAGTTTCAAAAGAATGACTGTTCGCGCCTTATGTAAATTTTGATTTGTTCCCTGCAAGAGGGCGCCTGCGAGCGCCGAAATACTTGTATATCTATTGTACGAACTTGTTCTTCACACAGTCTAATAAACGCAGTAACGAACGTTTGAGTCTACTTTCCATCCGCTAACATGGTCCGTCGTGAGCCAGCGCATTTCTTTGGATGATGTGTGTCAAGACAATTTTTAACGTTCTGGTATAGAAGGACATTTCGTGCAGGGAAAACGGATTTATATTTTGTCTGGATTGTGAAAACAGCAGAAGGAATATGGAGTCGATTTTAAAGCAAAAGCGAATTATTAAGGGTAAGTTGACTCGTTTAATTTCACAAATAAATAGTTTACAAAATCAAGAAAATTCTTTTTCTGCCATTGAAGTGTACGAAAATGATGTTGGTGCATTAAGTGTTGAAGTGAACTGTTTAAACGATAACATTCTTGGTACTTGTTCTGACGCAGAGTTTAGTAAATATGAAATAGAAATGAAATGAATGAATTATTTTCCAAATTAGATGTATTAAAAATTACTTTAAAGGAAGAATCAAGAAAACTTAGAAATTCAGGCAAAGATATAATAAATGCTAATGCAAACGGCTTGAAACTTCCTCGCGTGGAATTGCCAGTGTTTACTTCTAATTATGTTGATTGGATATCATTCAGGGATTTATTTCTTGCCAGTGTTGGAAATAATAGTACATTAAGTGACAGTCAAAAATTGCAATATCTTAAGCTTTCTGTGAAAGGTGAAGCTGCTGTTTTACTACAATCAGTTCAAATTTCAAACGCGAATTATGAAAAGGCATGGGAAGCGCTTACTGAACGTTATGAAAACGAAATAGAAATAATAAACGCAGCATTAAATAAATTAACTTCACAACCTGTTCTAAAACATGAATCAGCTTCAGGTTTGCGGAGATTAATTGATACAACACAACAGTGTATTGATACATTAAAAATCCTTAAACAGCCGGTAGAGCATTGGGATACTATGATTATTTTTCTGTTAAAAGGGAAACTTGATCATGAAACACTAAAAGAGTGGACGATGGAGCATTCGAACAAGAAAATTTCTGCTTTCGCTGAATTCAAGCGTTTTATTTTAAACAGAGCGAATGCTATTGCCTCTTTGGCGAAGTGCCAGAGGGAGAAGGTAATTTTGCCTTCTGAAATTAAAACTCGCGGTTCAGGTAGCAGATACGCTTTTTCGTCCCAACTTGTGGCTAATGTGTGCGTTCATTGTAAGAGTAATTCTCATTCTCAGTTATTTAAATGTGATAGTTTTTTAGAACTCCCTATCAAAGAAAAATGGGATATTATTAAAAGGAATAAATTATGTGCTAATTGTTTGAAAGATAGTAAAACGCATCCCATTTTTAAATGTCGTGCAGGAATGTGTAAATATTGTTCAAAGCCACATAATACAGTGTTATGTTCGAAAAATTCAAATGATGAAAAATGTCATATACCCATGGAACACGGAACTTCTGCTATTAGTAGCAATAACGCCACGGTGCCTGTTGCGCAAGCAGTTTTATTGCCTACTGCGGTTGTTTATGTTAAAGATATTAATGGCGATTTACAAAAATGCAGGATGCTAATTGATTCAGGTAGCCAGGGCTCATTTATTCGGGAGCACTGTGTAAATTTACTGCAGCTAAAGCGCACTAGTGCAAACATAAGTAAGTGTAAATGGCCTGAGCTCGCAAAAAATTGGAAAGGTTTCAGGTTCAGTTCAATTACAAGTAACATCTCCATTTTATAAAAACGCAAGCATTTCAGTTAATGCATTAATTATACCCAAGATCACGTGTGACCTCCCTCAATATCAAGTTGATAGATCTGTTTTGACATCTTTCAAACATTTGTGGTTGGCAGATACAAATTGTTTCCAGCCTGGCCCAATAGATATTCTTTTGGGCGCAGATGTATTTGGCGAGATAATGCTTCATGGACGTTTAACTGTTCCGGGTCATTCGTTAACAGCCTTGGAATCAATATTCGGCTGGGTCATTATCGGAAAGACTAAAAGTGTATCACAAACAATTGTATCTAATCATGCTAGTTGTACCAATGTTCAGCTCCAGCTTGAAAAATTTTGGAAATTGGAAGAAATTTCGGAGAGATAAAGCATTACACAGAAGAGGAAATTGAATGTGAAAATCATTTCAAGCGGAATTTTTCTCGTGATTCAACAGGTAGATTTGTTGTTAAGTTTCCATTTCGTAGATCGGGAAATGAACTTGGGTCATCAAGGGATGTTGCTGTACATCGTTTACAAAGCATTGATTGAACGTCAATTTATTAAGAATAAATCTCTTTCCAGTCAATATCACAAATTTATGGAGGACTATCAACAACTTGGTCATATGGAATTGATTCCAGAAAATGAAATTGATGTTCCAGCTAATTCTAGTTTTTACCTTCCGCACCATTCAGTTCCGGATAAAAATGGTGATAAATTTCGAGTCGTATTTGATGGTTCTGCAAAATCTTCTAGCGGTATTTCTCTTAATGAGAAATTGATGGTTGGTCCACAGTTGCAGACTGATCTGACAACATTAATTATTCGTTTCAGAATTCACAGAATAGCTATAACTGCAGATATAGAGAAAATGTACAGACAAATTATACTAAAAGATGCAGACTTTCAGAGAATAGTCTGGCGCGATTCACTTTATAAACCAATTCAGGATTTTCGATTAACTAGGATTGCTTACGGTACTGCATCAGCTTCGTACCTTGCGGTAAGATGTTTACAGCAGTTAGCCATAGATGAAGCAACTAATTTTTTCCTTTGGCTTCCAAGACATGTCTTAGGGACTTCTACGTTGATGATTTGATGTCCGGAGCCAATTCAGTTACTGAAGCTATAGAATTACAAATGCAATTGAATCAGATGTTGTCACGTGCAGGATTTATTCTAAGAAAATGGGCTTCTAACAGCAAAGAAGAAGTCTTGAATTCAATTAATCCAGATTTGTGCTTATCAAATGTTTCTTTGAACATAGACAATGATGATACTGTAAAAACGTTAGGTATCCTGTGGCATCCAGCTTCAGATATGTTTTTATTCAAAGTCAATTCATCATATCCTGAAGTCTTAACCAAACGAACATTACTTTCAATAATCGCAAAGACCTTTGACCCTCTTGGATGGTTGGCACCGATCACGGTTCGGTATAAATTGATTATGCAAAGATTGTGGAAACATCAGTTTCAGTGGGATGAAAAGGTTCCTCCAGATATTGAATGTGAGTGGAAACAACTTACAGAAGATTTGTTATTCATTAAAAGTATCAAAATTTCACGATTCTTGTTGGTTGAATCAGATAACCAGTTTCAACTGCACGGGTTTTGTGACGCCTCAGAGAAGGCCTACGCCGCTGCAATTTATTATCGTTCTGTGTTAGATACTGGACAAATTAATGTTCAGTTAGTGATAGCCAAAACAAGAGTTGCACCACTAAAAACCATATCACTTCCCCGATTGGAACTTTGTGGAGCATTACTGTTGACTAAATTAATGGATTTCACCTGTAGGGCTTTAAATACTCCTATATCGCAAGTTTATTTTCATACTGATTCCACTATTGTATTAGCCTGGATAAGATCTCATGCAAGCCGATGGAAGACCTTCGTCGCCAACAGAGTAGCAAAAAAAATCCAGACTTTATCCTCTCCTGTCCAGTGGCATCATGTGAGTGGAAATGCTAATCCTGCTGATCTTGCAACCCGTGGTGTGTCATCATCTGCACTGGTTACTTCATTGTGGTTACGTGGTCCAGATTTATTGTATAATTTATTTCCTTTTCAGCAAGCATTATCTGCACCACTACTGAATGATTCTGTGCCAGAGCAAAGATGTGCTTTACAGTCAACAACTGCTGCCAGTCACTTGACAGACGCTCATGATTTATTTTATAAATATTCCTCTCTCACTAAACTTAAACGTGTTTGTAGCATTATGTCTGAGGTTTGTAAATAACTGTAAAAATTCAGAAGATCAGGTAAGTGGATTTCTAAAAACAAGTGAATTAACTAAAGCTATGCATGTGTTAATTAAATTAATGCAATATGTTGAATTTAAGAATGAAATTAACACTTTAGGCAGAAATCAATCATTATCTGGTACAAGCAAAATTTTATCTTTGAATCCATTTTTAGATAATTTAGGTATTCTCAGGGTGGGCGGTCGCTTGCGACATGCAAACCTTGCATATGGTTTTAGGCATCCAATTTTGCTTCCAAAGAAGCACATTTTAACTCATCTCATTGTTAGACATTACCATGAAAGACTTTTGCATGCAGGTCCACAACTTATGCAATCTTGCATTCAAGAACAATATTGGATCATAAATGGTAGAGCTGTTATCAGAGATTTAGTTAGGAAATGTATAAAGTGTTGCAAAATTAGAGCATCTGTCACTAATCAATTGATGAGCGATTTGCCGTCTAGTCGCGTTTCGCCTGCTCCTGCGTTTTTGCGCTGTGGAGTGGATTACGCAGGTCCTTTTCAAATTAAAGCAAATAAGGGTCGAGGCTCTAGGTCATTCAAGGCATATATAGCTCTATTTGTTTGTTTTACGACAAGAGCTATTCACCTAGAATTAGTGACTGATCTTTCAGCAGATGCTTTTATTGCAGCTCTTAAGAGGTTCATTTCCCGCAGAGGCAAAAGCAGTGATATATATAGCGATTGTGGTTCCAATTTTGTTGGAGCAAAACGCAAACTGATGGAATTTGAAAGGCTTGCTAGGTCTGCAACTTATAACCAAAATGTTAGCAGATATTTGGTTGATAATGGCATTAAATGGCATCTAAACGTTCCAGGTGCGCCACATATGGGTGGACTCTGGGAAGCTGGCATAAAATCAACAAAATACCATTTAAAACGAGTAGTTGGTGAGGCGAGCGAGATTGACATATGAAGAATTTGAAACATTTCTCACACAAATAGAAGCTTGTCTTAATTCGCGACCTTTAACAAGTTTGTCTAATGATCCAAATGACTTGTCAGCATTAACGCCTGGTCATTTTCTTATTGGTAGATCATTAACAAGCATTCCTGAACCAAATTACATTGAAGTTTCCCATCTCACCAGATGGCAACATATTCAAAAAATGGTTCAACAATTTTGGAAGCGTTGGCACAAAGAATATCTGTGTCGATTACAACAAAGACCAAAATGGCTTTTGCCAACTAAAAATCTTCAAGTTAATGATCTGTGTCTCATAAAGGAGGATAACTTACCTCCAACTAAATGGAAAATGGGTAGAATTACTCAGTTACATCCTGGTCTTGATAGTGTTGTTAGGGTTGTGACTATTAAGACTTCAGATGGCATGGTTAAAAGAAATATTACAAAATTGTGTCCATTACCAATTTGAGTTTTAATTCATGTATTATAAATTAAGTATTATATCATAATTTTAATATTGTATTGTGTTTTAAATTTACTGAATTTTAACCACTAAATGTTGAAATACTATTTCAAGGTGGGCGGCATGTTCGCGCCTTATGTAAATTTTGATTTGTTCCCTGCAAGAGGGCGCCTGCGAGCGCCGAACTACTTGTATATCTATTGTACGAACTTGTTCTTCACACAGTCTAATAAACGCAGTAACGAACGTTTGAGTCTTTCCATCCGCTAACAATGACATACATAAAAATTTAGGAATAAAATACAAAGAAATATCTAAGTAACTGCATTCCTGTGAGACAGGTATTTGCTTTTCTCTAGAGGATTTTATTCACTTAAAACACAGCCTGTTTTGCAATACATTTTTTGTACTAAATTTCATTTCAACTTATTCGCATGTCTTTTTTTCCTATATAATTTACAAGAGATTTTTATGGTAATACAATCTTGCCATTAAGGTATTCTAGATTCCTACTAACTTTACCGTATACAAAGTTAATTTTGAAGAGATTTGCAAGTTAATCTCTTAAGTGATATGCCCAGAAATTTTTCTTGCTTTGATTTCTGTGATAAGTGACCGCTGAAGGATTAAAATAAAACAGATGTATGTCGTACTTAATTAATAATTTAACCAGTTTGGCAAGCGTAAAATTTGAGACTGACATACAAACCATCAAATGTCATCTGAGCTCTTAGTCCGTATGGAATCAGCATGTCCTTAAGCGTTCAAATCTAATAGTAATAATCTATTTTATCTTCAAAATGAACGAGAGTAAATAGCAACTTGGAGAAAACCATAAAGTACCTCAGATGACAGGGCAAAGAACTGGAAAATAACACTGAAGCATTAACTGGCACAAAACATACATAAAACTTTAGCCAAATACTATTATCAAATACTGGTTACAGTGATTCAGATGAATCATTTCACAGCAATAAATAAAGGTGAAAAGTTGCCTTTAATACGGGATTTAATCACTTCAAATAGCAATACATATCTTAACCACCCATGGCATGCACCAAATTGGCGGTGAGGATACGTTCTTGCTTTAGTATTGGCCACAGCTTTGCCATCGCAGTTTGCAACTGCTGGTAAATAGCCAACGGGGGGGGGGATGTGAATTAATATGCCTGCTCATCAGAGTGTTCCAGATGTACTCAGTGGGATTTACTTAGGAAAACATTAAGAACAATTATTCGAGTAATTCCTCTGGTGTCTGACAATGCATCAGCAATAACTGTGGTGTGGAATATCTCATTTTCGTCCATTAAGTTAAACACTGTATAATGTTGCGAGGCCCCGACTTTTCAGTAACAGTAGTAGTGACTGCTATAAACTGTAAATTACACAAACTCGTAAGAAGGGTTTAAATCCCTTTTTATTCCACTTTAGAAATCACAGCTGCGTTCACTTGACGCTCACAAACTACGCCTACCCGGCGGTTTAACAAAATAGAAAAGTACAACTAAAAATAAATGACAGGATGAATAAATAACGAAATCACTACCTACGAGGCTCTAAAATCGTAACTAACTTAACCGCGTTTTTAAGATACTAAAGCTGAGATTCAGCAAACTTTCTGATTAAGAAGTTTGAAAGATTCAACGAACTGCCCGAAACGAAATAGGCACACAGGCCGAAACGCTCGGTTCTTATAACTTTCTACCTAGCAACCTTCACGCTCGTGATTCAAGAAGCACACTTACAACTCGTTTCCCTTCTATTTAAACTCAATTTACTTCTGCTAAAATATGAATACTCTTGCGCGTTCTACTACGATTTACATACTCTGGCATTGGCAATTCTAGGGGAAAGTAAAGGCTTGACAGGAAAGATAGCTTAAAATAAATGTTAGTTAAAATAAATATAAACCCTACAACTGTATCAATGGCTTTTCGGAACGGACGCGCATTAGGTCGGATTTACGCACTAAAGTTGCTTTTATAGGTTATAATACTGGCATTTATTATCTGTAAACTCTGTACATATATCGAGCGTAATGTCTGCCCAGCTGAAAACAGGTCAACTGGTTTCAGTAATGTATGTGAGACGGGAAATCGTACGAATCAGTGCGCCGTACGTTAAACTATTCCAGAATTTATGCTGAGAATGAATCTACTTTCATCGGCACACGGTATCTTGTTTTATTGCAATATTATCAGTTCTTACAAACATTTCACCATACTTATGACGCTGGTGACCACGAAGATGTAAGCTAGACTCTGATGACCTAAAAGAGCAAGGCTTATAACCTGGGAAACACTAGACATCCATTTACTGTTTGGTGTCAGATTTCTTTCCCTACTCAGTGGGTGATCAGCTGTACCTGTCGTTTTGAAAGCCATCCACTCTTTCGATAATTTGCTAGGGGTGTAGAGTCATTAGAGTTTATGGTGCTGAAGACGTGAAAAGTGTGCAGTGCCCTCGCCTGGACTCGAAGCCTGGATCTCCCGTATGTGCGTCAAGTATGCTTCCAATTACACCACTAAGACATGTGGAAAGTAGGCTAAAAGTACAGTACATGTGCAGTGCCGAACTTGTTGACTAAGCCCTTCCTGCAGCTTTCCAATTATTCTGCCTTATTTGAAATGATGAAATGTTTCATAGTGCAGCAGACGTCACTCAGTGTAATCGCGATACTTCAGTTCGCTCAGTGTAATCGCGAATCAGTGTAATCGCGATAGTACTTAGATAACTAGTTATCTAAGTACTGAAGTCCCATATTGTGACCAACAGTTCGGTTAATATGAACAAAATGTTGTAGAATAATTTTTAAAAACTGAAATAAAGTTATCGGTAAGGCCAAATTAGATTATGAAAATTGGAAAATGACAGGAATGTCGCCAGAAAACTCTCCAGGTAACAGATTAAGTTACCAAAGAGCTTGTTACGAAATCAATTTTCATCAAGCATTTAAAATTAAGAAAACATAAAAACAACTCTAGTTTGGCGTAGATTTTGAATGACTCTATCGACTTGCTCGGACTTGAGAGTGCTCAGACACAATTTCCTCTTCTTCAGGAGCCTCCCTCTACTCCCAAACAAAAAGGAAAAAGAATTCCTGCGGATTTTCCCCCTATCTCTTGAAAATCCAGAAAACATGTACTAAGATTGCCATTTTTTTGCCAGATTTTTAATTTTAAGTTAGCGTGTTCTTTTTTTAACCAAGGATTCAGTATCGTCAGATAATTTCTCGCATCAATCAAATAGTTTTCAGAAACGTGATGAAGAATTCATGAATAAACTTTTGCATTAAATATATTATAAGGTTTTTCTCCCGCCTTCTTAGCATGCCTTCGTGGTGTAGCGGGCAGCACGCTCGGCGTGTATTCAAGAGGTCCGTTGTTCAAATCCTGCCGAGGGCACTACACATTTCTTCAATTTCTGGTTCTAAAGAAATTTTACAACGTCTCTACAGTGGCGCCCGAACTAAAAAAGGTGGTGGATGATGATTATCCACCGCTAGGATTTGGCGATTAGTCCCCTAATCCCCAATCGCCCTTTAAAAGAGGGGTGTATAAGGTATTTCTCCGCCTTCTTAGCATGCCTTCGTGATGTAGTAGTCAGCACACTTGGCGCGTATTCGAGAAGTCCGTGGTTCGAGTCCCGACGAAAGCGTTGCTCATTTTTCATCTTTTCTGCATTCTAAATAACCTAATATCACTACAATATTATAAACTGTTCATAAACAAGTATTTGCCTTTCCTTTATTAAAATGCACTAGAAGTACCTATTGATAAATTTCTGGTTATAATACTACTCAATTAAATTCCATTGCTAGTAATGTTAGCATACGGCTAGTGGTATCAAAATAGCCGTGGACAAACGCGATCCCATTTAGCGGCGCCCACTAGAACCATTTCATCCTTTTTAATGCATAATAAAACTTAGTGGACGTTTATAATGGTATATCATACCTTTTGCTGGTATCAAAAGTATCTCATTTGGCATCCCTTTGCCAAATCTGGCTACAGTTTCTAAACTTCAGCTTTTATTATTCATTCTGTAAGGCATCACATTTAAAATCACGATACTAAAACTGAATGAGCGCCAACTTTCCATTGGAGATCTATCGTTATAGAAATTTCTGAAGTAACTTCTAAACATAATATTGTCCTTCACGTTTGTTTGTGAGTGGAATTTCCATTTAACGATTGACATAAAAATACCTTACACCGAAAGCACTCTTGCATATAAAAAGGGCGTAATTATCCATCTCTGAGATCATATGAGTTCCATCTTTTAACATTAAAATCGATAAATAGTTAAATGCTGTGAAAGAGCCTAATTTACATTTACTGCTAAGAGAAAATAGAGAACAAAAATAATGAATTCTAAGGAAAATAAATAGCAGAAAGTCTCGAAAATATTTCAAAGAAAAATGAAAAATTAGTAAGAAAAAATATTAATCTGAGAACTAAAACCGATTATAATTCTTGCACAGTTATTTATTCATTTACGACTTACTTCAGCATGACCAGAAACTAGTATTCGTACTTAAGAAATA